ATCAAAAGGTAAACTCAGTAGTATAATTAATTTAAAATGTAAAAAAATAATTTTTGTTTATACTTATCAAAATACGAAACAATTTATCAACCAAGAAACTAAACACTAAGGTAAACAACAAACATCTAATGAAAAATAATACAAAATTATTATATAAGAAATAACTTAATATTATTTATTATATGTTTTATAAGTTTTTAGAATTTCCTTATATACCTTAAAACTAGGTGAGTGAACATTTGTATTTTTATTTTGTTTAACTTTTTTATTAGCCTAAAATAAATAGAAAATTGCTAAACAGTTGAAAAAGCAAGCAATAGGTGTATTATTTTATAAAATGTATGAAAGTAAAATAGCTTATAAGATATATATAATTTTTTGTTTTATTCACATTTGTTTGATTAAAAAGTTGTATTTTTTTTTTTTTTTTTTTTTTTGTTGTATTCACAATATATTACTTTTTTACAATATATTTTAATATAAACATTATTTGTATAATGTTTATTTTACACTATATTGTAGAAATTACATTGTATTATTTTAAATTCTTTTATTATACTTTTACATATGTATTGTAAAATGATTGTTTTTTACATTAGCTTACTGCTTGTTTTATTTAAAAAAAGTATATATATATACATATATACATACATATATACATGTTCTTGATACGATAATTCTCGGTGTTCGCATTTTAGTATTTTACAGAATGGGCGCTAAAATATTACGTTTTTGCGCGCCTTAATGGCAACGTTGAAATTAATAAAACAAAAAGTTTGCGTAAATGCATCTTAATAAAATTTTAACATTTTACAAAAAAAATTAAAATTTTACAAATTATCAACATATCTAATATTAGATTAAATAGATCTTCTAAAGATATCTTCTTTTCTTTACATATCTTTTTGTGGCTTATCTTCTTTTAATCAATCTTCTACAGGTATCTTCTTGTAGCTTATCTTCTTTACATATCTTTTTGTGGCTTATCTTCTTATAGTTTTTGCAAGTAAATTTTGTGTTGTACATAAAAAAAATAAGTTAAATATAAATATTATGAAACATTTTCAATGTAAAAATTATATTGTGATACTTATAAGGCATTTTTTTCGTAATGGCAGCTATGAGATCTACCCAAAATATCTTTTTAAACACAAAAATTCCCTTGCATTTTGCTTAAACATTAAGTTTTAGAACCATAATAGACTACAAAATCTAGTCTGATAAACATTGGATTCAACATTTATGCTTTGTACACTTAAATGTTACTCTACTTAGAACCAAAAAAGATTTTTAGGATAATCTGTTCTGTGTGAATAATGATAAAATGTTAAGTAAATCATACTTGACAGCGTTCATAGTTTTGCACAACCATTCTTTGACCGCATAGACAAAGATTTTGAAGTGAGATTAGTTTTTTTTGTTCCAAAATATCAACCAATTTTTCTTCTTTGATACTTTTAATGAACTCAGCTAAAGGTGTCATCTTACTTATTTTGGGGGCGGTAAAAATGTGCTAAGGAGGTGCGAATTGAAAACTTTAATGTGAAATTTTAATTCGTTAATATTAGCCAATCATAAAACGACAAAGTTATCGTTTCGAACTTTACCGAGTTTGGGGTGCGCCGTGTACAGGTCCGCCGAGTGCTCAATATTTTAGAAATATTTAGTTTTTCAAAAACAGAACGTTTTATACTTAAATATAGAAAAAACAACTTTTAATGGAACTTAAAGTTTCATGCCTATCGGCATTCATCAGCCATGAAGTACAAAATCAAAAATATAAAAAACCGTTTAAAAATTACAAACTACAGTAGAATGAGTTCTGACGTCTTAGTACAAGAAGACGTAATGGAAAACTAATCTCCGCTATCAAATAATGAAAGAAGAAATTTATTTTTATGTCTACATTTCGAAACTACTTCGCCTCTTTTATTTAGCAGGTTATCTCCTTTGTAAAATAATATTTCAAATTTCTCATTTTAACAAAGTTTACAAATTTTTGACGCAGGATTGTATGATTTACAGCGTTTAATTATATTCCATTTGATTGAAGATGTAAAAATGTTATCTTTTAAATTCTATACTTCCTTAGATAAATCAGTGTCGTTCTTGTATTTTTTTATGTTGAAGGATTTTAGATGGTTTGCATAACGTAGCTTAAAAGAGGTTTCGCTTATCCCAATGTATACCTTATCTTTGTACTGAGGTTTATTTGGCTTGTTAAACGATGTTGTTAGACAAGCAATTGTTGTTCAGTGGACAAAGAGATTTTTTAATGCAACTGCAGGCTTTTTCTGATAACTTTACATCACCATATAAAATATTTTTGTTGTGTGAGTTGATGATAGATTTAATGTTTGGCATGCAGGAGTAACTTATTTTAATTGTGTTTCTGTTAAATATTTTGTGTAGGTTGTGGTGTTAAGGAAAATGCTTGTCAATTAGGATTAAAAAGCGTTGACCAATTTTGGTAGTAACATTTTTACTAAATGGAGGGTTGTTCCAGATTATACTTCGTTTGTGGTGAGTTTTTGGAACATTTGTTATGCTTGGTTTATATGCCAACTTATAATCATATCCCGATTGCTTTAGTGCGTCTTCATAAAGATGTGTCGACTTATTAATATATATATATATATATATATATATATATATATATATATATATATATATATATATATATATATATATATATATATATATATATATATATATATATATATATAAGTTTGTTATATATATATGTTTTGTATATATATATATATATATATATATATATATATATATATACATATATATATATATATATATATATACATATATATATATATATATGTTTGTTATATATATGTTTTGTATATATATATATATATATATATATATATACATATATATATATATATATATATATTTATATATATATATATATATATATATATATATATATATATATATGTATATATATATATATATATATATATATATATATATATTATATATATATATATATATATATATGTTTGTTTCATCATCAAACATATTTGTTTGACTAACGAATAAACTATTCCAAATAATAATTATTCCACTGGCAAAAAAATATATATATATATATATATATATATATATATATATATATATATATATATATATATATATATATATATATACATATATATATATATATATACTTTTTTTTTTTTCTTCATCTGTATAAACTTAAAATATTAAGGTAATTATTTAGTAACATAATAGACAACGGAATATATTTAATTGGAAAATTTAATTGGAAAGCTTGACATAAACTTTTCTGAAACTAAAAATAAAATTTATGTTATAAGTTGTTTAACTTTTATAAATGTTATAATATAATACACCTATTACTTGCTTATAATATAATACACCATTGTAATCTGGTTTTACTTATTTGCTTAATCTGCACAGTGAAGGCAACATCGTTACAAATATTTGTTTGAATCTTGTGTGTTCGTGCTTTTGCGACGTACCTGTAACCTTTCTAAGATAACCTTTATACCATTTATGAGTCAACTAATATCCAAATGTATGCAAAACTAAACTTTGACGTCTGAGAAACAATATTTTTAAGATTACCTTTCTTTTACACTACATGCACCCTTTTATATTCGCTATTCCACGGCTTTACAACAGTTTTTTTGTGTGAATGATGTCACTACCGTTTTTCATGCGAGCGATTAAATTTTTTAAATGATAAAACACAGTTTAGAAAATTTGGACAATTTCAGATTTTTGGACTAAAATTAAACATATCATCATGAGAAGAATATTTATCATAGTGCTTAATTTTCTCGTTAAGGTTTTTCCCCAACATCATTCTAAAATAAGTGAAAATAATTGCTCGAAACTTCCGAACAGTGTTTAAAAACGATCGTTAGAAACTTTTAAACAGTGTGCAAAAATTTAAATAGTCAAAATGTTGAGACTCTTTTTGTCGTTAAAAATATGTTAGACTAAACAGGTTTGAACTGTTTTTACGATTGATATCGATTATATAGTTTTTAAATTTAAAATACTCAGTATAAACTAAATTTATGCAAAACACTTGTTACGATAAAGGATATTTTGAATAGCTAACAAATGCTCGTCCTGGAGCTCTTTTTAGCAAGAAAAAGTGTATGTTTTTAACAATTAACAAGATTTTTTCATTTCTAATAAATAATTAAAATCTTTTAAATAAAAACTAATTATATTGATATTTTATCATTTTTACTTTAAAAACATTTTCACTTTGAAAAAACAAGCTTGAATAAGTTGTTTACTATTAGTGCAGTTTTATAAAGCAACGTTCTCTGTGTAGAGATACCATGTGATGCAATGTTAACTAATACATGCCTAACAGCATGTTACTTATAAATGTTTGAAAGATGATGCTTAACATATAATTTAGAGTTTTAGTATAGAATAAGTTGTTCAATTCAAGTTGAATTGAAAAAACATTTTTTGATTCAACTTGAAATAATCAACACAATAAACAAAAGTTTTCTTAATTTTCTTTTCCTTCTTTTCTTTTTTTTTTTTCTTTCTTTTCTTTCTTTTTTTTTTTCTTTTCTTTCTCGATTTTCTGACATTTTGCAATAATAGTCAACAAATATAAAGATAATTTATCAATTTTTTAATTTGATAGTTTTATGTTTTTATTTTAAAAGTTCTTTTAAAATTTGCTCTGAAACATAATATTGATTTCAAAATAATTATATATATATATATATATATATATATATATATATATATATATATATATATATATATATATATATATATATATATATATATATATATATATATATATATATATATATGTATGTATATAATATAAATATATATATATATATATATATATATATATATATATATATATATATATATATATATATATATATATATATATATATATATATATAATCTTAATTTGAATATTTGATAAATTTTTAATTTAATTTAATGCCTTTTTCAAAACAGCACCTTAATGACCAATCTTCTATAAGAGTGGTCACTTTAACAGCACCTTAGTGACCAATCTTCTACAACAGTGATCATAAATTTGATAAAATCGGCAAAATGAACTCCTTTTAGTTTAGCACTAATCAGTAAAACTTTTTTGTTTACGCTTTTTAGCATTTCTTTTTATATTTACTTGTAGTCATATTTTATTAATGTATTAATAGTATTAATAAATTAAAAAAACCTTTTTTTTTTCTTATAATTTATTACATTTTTATTTTGTTATATACAGTTTAAATATATTTAATGAATTAAATATGTTTTATATTACAGTATTTTTAAATTAAATAGTTATTTCTTCATCATCTCCAGTCGGTTCTTCGTCGTCAGGGTGACTTTGAGAGAGCTGGTCGTTTAAATAAAGACCGGTTGAAGTAGTTTGATTTATTAGGTATAACTTTTTATTGCAAATATTGTTCTTCATATTTATGTATCTTCTTTAGTCAAAATATTTTTGATACTTCTAAAAATTAATTTCAAAATGATCAATTTAAAAGTTTTCTAAAGTAATTTCATTCTGATAAAATTTAAACCAAATTTTTTTTAACCAAATGAAAATATAAATGTATGAACAAAGTTATTATTAAAACGTTTAAAGTCAAATGATAGCTACTCTATTCTTGAATTATTTAACTTGATAACCAAAAGTTTTTACTAAAAAAATACCTCTTTTATTTAGCTGGACAAAGTTGTCTTCTCTGTTGAAACTGGTGCTGCATTAGATTAAGAGGACATGTTCTCGCCTGTCTTTTATACTCAAAGACAATAATGTTTGTTCTATTTTTGGATATATATATATATATATATATATATATATATATATATATATATATATATATATATATATATATATATATATATATATATATATATATATATATACATGTATACAAAAATAGAATAGCATTTGATGTGTTTGTCTTTGTGTGTATTTGACATTTTTAAGTATATTTATAACTATACTAACTGTGCATTTTTAAATAACTTTTTTATGTTTTTTTATGCTCACTGTAGAAATGTCCGTTTAATTTTAAAACATGTTTTAAAAGTTTAGCTTCAAAAATTTTAAAAATTTTATTTTGTGTTTTTTTGTATAGAATATTATAATAGAAACTAAAAAGGTTCGTTTTATTTTATCAAGCACATTATTTATATATTTATTAACTGTTGTTGCTATTTTTAGTGCTTAAAATTTAAATCTGGTGCAATTTTCAAAACCTTTTTTGTGAACGAAAGTGTTTTGGTTAACATATTCTACAATAATTCAGGTCTAGCATAAGAAAGAAACATGCAAGTATCAGAATAGTAGGCTATTCACATTTGTAGTATATTATACGATAAATTTGTAAAAATATATATAACAACAGTTATATTCTCAAAAATGCATATTACATTACATTAAATACTTTAATTACATTTCTACTCAGTCGGCATTTGGTTTAAAAAAGACATCTTTTAATCTTCTTTTGTTAGACGTTTGAAAGACTTTTTTCAAGACCAAATTCCAGCGAGTTTATAAAAGGCAGTTACAGCAGTAATTACCTGATGCATATTTTCTTGGATTAACTCAACTTCAACCGTATGTTTTAAATATATTGTCGTAAGATACATCGGATATATCGGCGTAAGGCGTGACTCATTTATCAATGCAATACTTAACTATAATAGACTGTTTTTAAACATCTAATGCACTCTATGACTCTACGCAATTTAATTTAAAGCTTTTAAACAACGTAAGCCATATTTTTTTACTTGCATAAGACTGACCGTTAGACTCTTATTTAACAGTTACTTCTTTCATTGATCTTTTTTTTTTTTTGCATTTTTCTGGAAACTTCTGGACCTTAATGTTAAAATTTCATTTTTTTTTTTTTTTTGCATTTAACATTTTATATGCCAAAATGCCCACATAAAGATATACAGGGATTTCTTTTTTCAAAGTAATGCTTATAAATTTATCTTAAACTCTTCATGGCATTAAAACTTGGTTTTCATTATTCTAAGATATTGCATTCAGGGTTACGAATGGATACCTTTAACAAAGAATACACTTTTTTTTTTCTGCATTTCAAGATATATTTATTATAAGTCTTAATTTATGTTTAATTTTTAGAGAAATTATTTCTCCTAAATCCATCATTTACTTTCTTTAATGCAAGATGCATATTCTAATATATTTTATTAGTATTAAATATAGAAAAATATAAACATGTATTTTTTATATCTGTTAGTATATTATGAACTGCTATAGTACATTATTATTCAATATTATGCTGATGCATTCTAGAATTTATCTAAGAAAATTTCAAAATAATGGCCAAGCACCAATCATTAAAATATTTCAACATGGGAGCGGATCAAGAATCAGTTATTGACGTCAGTAAACTTTGAACTTTATTTAATAACCTGTACACCTTTTCAACATGTACATTTTTAAAAAAAATATAATGACCTAACTGTGTTAAATACACTTAACAAGTCGAAAAATACCATAAAGTTACTTATCTGGTTAACAAATTCTATATTATATAGTTCTATATATATCTGGTCAACTAATTCAATAAATAACTAAGTTTAGTTTAATGATTTTTTAAAAGCATAATATTTTTGACTAGAATATTTTACAATCAACAATATGTTAATATTTAAACTTTATAAATTAAAAACCAAAGTTTTTAAATAGTACTTTAAAGTTGGAAAACTCTAAGAAATCATTATTTTTTAAATGAGTAAACGCTTTGTAAATGCGTAAAAAAATTTATATTGAGAACATGTTATATTTTCTATTTGAAAACATTCTATTATAACAGAAACAACGCATATGGCATTTCAAGAACATATTTTTTAAAGACATGCAAAAAAATCGTTTAAAAGTTTAACTTTATTAAACGAGGGTTAAAAAAAAAAAAAAATTTAGATAAAACATAATAATTCTAATCTCGAGATTTGCCATATGTGATTTAAATCATGTATCTAAATCACTGTATTTAATCAAGTCATTGTATTTAATCAAGTCACTGTATTTAAGCATAAATTTTTCTAATAAGACTTTTGCAAATGTTTTTTTTTAAATTTTTTTTAGTTTTTTTTAGATTTTAAATATTTAAAATTCAGTTTTTATTTAAACTAAAGTATGTTGAGTCTACTTTATACAAGAACTTGTACATTCCAGGTATGTAGCGACCGGAGGAGGGGGGCAGCAGATGCATTTGCCTCTCCAATGATTTTTCAAATAAATAATTTTAAATAAATTGTCTGAAAAAATGATTGAAAAAAAAAAAGGTCCTTAAAATTATTTCGGGGTAGAACTGCTCCCCCAATATAATTTTTGTTCCTATTCGCATTCGGATTATGTATTAATTTTTCTTTTGTCACCTCTTTTTCTTATTACATAAACTAAGTTTTTGCTTACAAGAATGTATATATCTATAGAGTTTCATAAACTATACGCACAATTTTTCTTTTTCACAATTAAATTTTAATAACCATTCTCTTATTCGATTGAATAGGTAGTCAAGATCACTTTGTAATGAAATATTTTTTATAATTGATATATTTTTATAGATCTCGACAAATAATTTTTTTCATCTTAAGAAAAAAAAGTTAAAGGACTGATTTTGGAACTATACAGTAAACTTTAATTTTGATTTACTTTGATTGAGTACAATTCTTTCACTTTTATTAGATATAAAAACTTTGTAACAACTTTTCATTCCAAATGAATTTGTTGATCATCTCAAATGTGTCAAATGTATTTGGATAATCTAAGAATGCTATATTTACGTTTTTTTTTCTTCTACAAGGGCAGAATTTAACAAAAATCAATAGTTTAAAGTGCAAATTTGTCGTTTGTTTATGATTAATTTATTATTGTATTGGCAATTCAAATTTGATTATTGTATAATACTTTTCATTATTTTTGCGACAATAGAGATATATGAAATATGACTAATTTAAATAATTGCGTGATAATGAATTGTGTCTAATTTGAATAATTGCGTGATGTTTTTTAATAGCCAAGTTTAGTAAAAATTCCTGTACAAAACGAGTCATTAAAAATTCTAAATAAAGACTTACTAATGTTGTCTGCACATTTTTTTAAGATATGCGCACGAACTATATCTGGAACAGGACCTCAATTGACTTATAAGTTTGTAGGGTTTTCCATTGTATTGTCCTTGAAGGGCATTAGATTCAGACATATAGCCTCAGTAATCTTTTTGCATTTTGGGTCATGATTCTAATTTTTCTATAATAAAAACCGAGCAAAAAAATGTACCCGGGTAGTTAGAGTATTGTATATTAATTATCCAATTATAAATTAATCAACATAATAGATTAACTCTTACGTTGCCGTCAGTTTACAATATTTAATTGTCTAATAATAAATATATCTGTGGCTATTGGTCAATTTATGCTAAGTACAAATTGGGTCATTTTGAGAAAAGTATGCAATTGAGTTAGATCTTTCATTTGGCCAACCTTTAATTACTGCACTTTTTTTTTTTTAATTTTAACGAAAAATAACTTATTTTTCATTATTACCCGAACTATGGCAACAAATCAAATTTCTCCTCTCTTGCAAAATGTCATAGTTACACTTATCATAAATTGACCAATGGCCACAAATATGATTATTTGTTTTAGGGTTGATAAAAATAAAGGAATAAATTTATTTAGGCTTTCTTTTTCATTTGCTATTTTGTATTTGTATGAATAAGAATAATGTTTTTAGAAAATTTTTATTATGTTATATAGTTTTAAACTTTTGAATTCGTATTCAAACCAATCTATTTTTTTTATTTTGATCTTGTGTTTTTATTCACTAATCATTCATAATGATTTTTATTTACTTTTTTGTATTGTTGTTGTTGGTAAAATCAGCGTTTGTCATATATTTTTATGAGTTTCATATTGAAAATGTTGACGTAAAGAATATTAAGTTAATTATCGCTATCAAAACTACACCTCGAGCAAAAAAAACTGATAAATACTAATTTTATTAAAAATAAAGTACAAAGTATTAAGTTAATTAAAAATATTTTTTAATTTTATTAGAGGAAAACTTTTTAAACATTTAATGCAAATAATAAAAAAAAACTTATTCAAATAAGTTTTAAGAAATTATGTATAGCAATTTAAAATTCATTAATGCCCCTCTATTTTTTTACTTTGTTTATTATAAGGAACATTAAATCAATCAAATTTGTTAAAAGTCTTGTAATGTAGCCCAGAATTCATGGGTAGCAACCTGAATATCTTCAAATTTGAAAATTGTTTTTTATGAATTGAAAAAGTCCCATAAATTTTCTACGGGATTAAGGTAAGAACTTTGTTTGAAGAAAAATAATTTTTCTCAAACAAATTTAAAACGCGACGGGACTAATGGCATGGAAAAAAATTCTGTTGAAATATATTTTTTAATTATTTAACTCTATTAGGGTTGGTAATAAGAACTCTTGTAATAATTTAATTTATTATTTAGAGCTTATCTTATTTTCGTTGCCGACTTTATACAATCTTCCAACGCCTTTAGCAGAGTAGCAACTCCATGTCATAAGTCTTAGAATTCCTTTTACTGTTTTTTGTAGACGATCAGAATGAAATTTCTCGTTAGACTTTTGAGTGCACATTTGAAGGCAATCCAGGTCCAGACAAAATTACGATTCTTCCGTCCTTTTTATCATTCTGTATTTTTATTAGTGTTTATCAATGCTAATTAGGTTCTTTTTTAAAATGGATTGTTAATAGAGGGACCTTTTTACATTTATTGGTTTTGAACCCTTGATCGTTTAAGAAACTCAAAGTAATCCACTGTGAATATTTTTTCTTTATGAAACATTTAAAAGAGTTCGCTATTTCAATAGCACTTCTTCGTCTTTTGCAGATTTTTTAATTCCAAGTTAAAAGTACCCTAGTCAGTTAATTTTTTAATAATGTCAGATCCTTTTTTTCAAGCAGTCGTTTTACTTTTTTCAAAATAGTGTGTAATATTATGAACGCCACCAACATTAATATTTCTAACTTTTTTCACATAAATTCCATTTTTTATTTAATTGATTTCCTTGATTCACTCAGTCCCACAATTATTCTTTTTGTTTATTTGCAATCCTCTCATTGTTTATTTGCAATCCTCTATAGAAAAGAAAAATCCTCTATAAATAAGAAAATATTCTATTGAAACAAAGTTATAAATAAAATAGTCTTAAAATAATATTTATAACCTGTAGAGTATCTTATTATTCTATTAATACGACCTGAGTATCAATAACAAAAAGAAAAAAGAAAAAAGGAAAACTTGGCTAACTAATCCACTAAACAAATATAAAAATAAAAAAGGTTCATTTTATTTCCTTCTTGTCTAATAAAAATATTAGATATGACATAATAAAACAATATTTTCTGATATATGCTTCATAAAAATAAACTACTTATTATAGAATGAATTATACTTTTGATTATTATTCATTACTTCTGAAGATTTTGATTAGAAAAAAAAGGTGCATGCTTACCCGTTAAATAAATAACTAGCTAGCGACTGCATAAAACTTAGCTTACTTTTTTCTCACATTACTGTTTGATTTAGTGTTTAACTCTTCAAAAAATACAATCTTTAGTGCTGGTTCTACCGTATTGAAGACAAATATACAATTTAAAACATTTTAATACGACAAAATAAAATGTGTACGTAATAAAATATCGTATTGTAATAAAATCTTAGTTAAGCTGTAAGTATCTTTTAGCTAGCTACAACAAGTCCATAGCAATCGATGAACTACATATGGTAGCTTTATTTTTTTTTTTTTTGTGATATAATAATTTTTTAATTTTGATTGCCATTTTTCAGTTAGGTTCTTAGTTTTATCAATAAAAAAAACCCTTTTTTTTTTAATCTTTAGGTTAATAAATAATTTTTTTTATAAAATTTTGAAAAAAAAAAACGACTTGCTAAAACTGCGTGTTAAAAAATTTAAAAGCCCTCTTTAAGTTTTATTTATTTCTTTATGTCAAATGTTAATCTTGATTAATCCAATCTGATGGTTTCTTTTTTTCTTTCTCACCTCCATTATCTCGTTTGCCTCTCAACAATCGATTTTGTTTAAATCAATGTTTAAATCGCACGCTTTGAAATTTAAATAAATGGAAAATAAATCTTTCAAAAATTTTTATTTAATCATCTATAAAAATGTATAAAAAAAAGTACGGAATAAACGACGAGGAAAAAGCTGAAATCTTACCGTTAACAAAAGCTGAAGGAGATATAATCAATTTTGACCCTAAATATCCTTTCGGTAATCCTTCTATTATTCCTAAATTTTGGGAAGAGGTTAGTTTTTGTTTTTTCTCTATCTCCTTTAAATTTTTCTTGAGTTATACTATAGATATTGAACATTATAAATTATCATTACATTAAAGTAATTTTTAAGTAAATAAAAAAAACCTATTTTAATTATACATTGGGTTTACGACTCAATTTTTATTCAGTAGAGTACAAGAGAAAGGGAGGAGGGAGTGGAAACAACCTAAGGCAGCTACTTGTGCAAACAGTAAGTTTATAATACGCCGCCTACATTATATGAAAGAATATCCCAATCCCAAGTGAGTATGTGATATGTGACGTTTTAAAAAAAAGCTTGAAATTAGTATTCTAGAGTTATTAACTTTATTAGTGTTTCTTGACTCTAAGAAATGTTATGAACTTTTAAGTAACAAAGTTCAGTTGTAGGGGGCCATGGGCTTAGTAAAACCCTCCTCCTTAGGACTTTTTTTTTTTAATTTAAAAAGAAAGTTACTTATAAATGAAAATATGTAGACCTTTTTTTTTTCAAGACCTTTTTAGCCCCCTCTTTGGCTAATGGCAAAACCTGCCCCTGACAAAGTTTAATAATATTCTTTTAAATTTTGAATGTTTCTTATATTATTCTAAAAATTTTTGTTTTGAAAAAACTGTTAGGTTTTGAGTTGTTAAGGCACTCACCTGAGAGTGCCCAAATGTGGTGTGCCATACCTGAGGGTGCATTTGTTTTACTAATTTTAATTACAATTTTTCTTATTTTATTGAATAGAGTATGACACAATTTTTTGTTTTTTTTTTCAAACTTGTAATATTAAAAAAATTAGTAAACCCCACCATATAGTAAAACATTATGATAAAATTTAAAATCTGTGAATGAACTTAAAGTAGATAGTGTAATACTTAGAGAACTAATTAACAACTTTCTAAATACATTCAGTAATAGATTATATTTAATTAAGAATTACAGTACACGTAAATTGATTTATAGCAGAATTATTTTAACAATTTTACTTTTAATAAATTTTTTTTATGTTAATAAAATAGCTTACATCCTTTCCAACAATGTTTGAATGCACATATTAGGTAATTCCTTAAAAAAAAAAAGAAGAAAAGTCATTCCCCTATCTCATATTTTTTTAACCATATTCTTTCACTTTGTTTTGAAGATTAGTCCAAAAAATAAAATATTACTAAACAATGTTACAAACTGATGAAAAAATTCTTTTACAAAACTAAATAAATTGGAATATAGTATAAATTGGGTTATTTCATATAAAAGAAGGAAAGTTTTTACTCACCCTCTCAAATAAACTTCAAGTTTTAACCAGTATTAACTATCAGTGAAAAATTAAAAAAAATAAATTTAAGCTCCCAATTTAAATAATTCAAAAGTTATATATATATATATATATATATATATATATATATATATATATATATATATATATATATATATATATATATATATATATATATATATATATATATACATATATTACCATGGGGACTTCAATCACTCTTGGAGTTGTTGAAAGTGTAACACATTTTATAAATAGGAAATTTTAAAATGATTAAATTTTATGTTTTCTCACCATATGTTACATTTTCATTAATTCCTTTCATTTGGAGTTTCCAACTTTCATTGTGAAATAAGAGATCTTAGACAGTATTAAATTAAAAAAGATTTTTGGTCTTTTAGAGCATAAAAATATGTATTGCTTTGCATAACTTCAAAAACATACATAAACTTTGCATAACTTGCAAAACTTTATATTGTAGTATAATTTACATTACAATGCATTGAAAGTATAATCTGTTTATTATTACAACAATCTATTAGATATAATACTACTGCATAAAAATTTATTAATTAGTTATTCTTTAGGGAAATTCTGTAAATTTTAGTTCCTAGTTGCATTTCTAAGATTAGTAAGTAAAATTAAATCTCAAATGTTAAAAATAAAAAATTGAAATACATAACATTTTGAAATAAAGGCTGAAATCTGCCTAAAAGAAAAAAACAAAAGTAAAAACAAGAAAGAAAAAAAAAAAAAAAAAAAAAAATATGCCTCGCATCTCTAGGAATGATATTCATTTTTGCCGCCTTAGCTAATGGTCGGAAACAGGTTCAGACCAGATTCATAGTTAATAGTTCAGTTCTATCTGATGTTGTCCACTGTTAAATTCTACTAAGGTTCATTTTTATTGCTATCAAATACTGTTGTAAAAAATTTGAGCAGTTTTTGGAATATAGTATCTTTTTTGCTACTTTTTTGATAGACAATAATTTTAGGGTCAATGTCAAAATTTAAAATTTCTTTTTTTATTTGTGATTTTAGAGTTTTTTTCTTTCATTTATTCAATAAGGAAGTTCAGATTACCAGCTTTGGTTTGAACCTCCTTTAGGATGTTGTTTGATGCAACAGAACAATTGCAAGTTTCTTAATAACAGTTTCATTAGCTTCCATTATTGTTCTTGCTTTTAGCAAAGGCTTGTTAGAGATTTTGCATAAATGAACTTTTAAAGGAAACACATAAGGTTCACTTAAAGTACTTTTGACCAGTGATCTTGTTGACTCAAGTATATTATCTTTCTCTGTATCATCTTCAATAAATTTAATCTTTATTGTACTTTTTTCAGATTCTTCTAACATGTAAAATTTTTTTTTTAAATATTAACGAAACCATTTGAGGCTATAAATATAAATCGATATAAATTTAAATTTCACTGCAACAATTTATTGAAAATTAAACAAAACTTATCTAATAATCAAATGCACTGTGTTAAGTTTATTGTTAATTAAGCGAAATGAGCAATTGCTTCACCAGTCCTCTAAAAATTTCTAAAAATTGTGCAAAAGTAAATAAACAACTAAGTTAGAATATTAAAAAGAAATGTATCAAGTAAAAAACAACATAAGTGAGAATGTGTTTATACTCTTTTACTCATAAAACAAAATGTAAAAAACAACATAATTATGTAATATTTGTATTTTAGGTTTATACAAAATACAAAGTTTTTTTCAATAGAATACTGATAAAATGTTGTATTAAATAAAAGAATGAAAACAAGTCTTTTATTAAATTTTATTAAAATTTTAATTAAAACAAATAAATTTTTTTTTTATTAAAACAAGTCTAGTATTAATTAAAAGAATGAAAACAAGTCAAGAAAAAAAATATTCCTTAAAAATTTATGTATTTTACTGTTGAAAATGAAAAAAAACTGATCTCTAGAATTTTTCCGCAAAACACCAAAATCTAGTTCATGGAATTACAAATACATTTTTATGAAATACAAATACAAATGTTTAAGAAATTTTTTTAATCAAATATAATATGAATACAAATATGCCAATTTAGCCTATTATTACCAAAATACAAATACATATTTTCCCCCAGTCCTGTCTATCACTAACACTACTGTAACACACTAAAACAAACATAACACTACATAAACACACTAAAAGCAGATTCTGAAGCAACTGTTGCGATAAAAATACTCGATGTATTATGTCATAATAGTAATGTACGGGTAGATTCTATCTATTTTTATCCAATAGTTATAAATATTTCATTTATTATTTCAGTCATATTAAACCTGTTCAAAATACAATTTTATAAGGTGACTTGATATAGCAATTATGGAGGGCTCTTAAATTGTATAAGAGCACTCCACTGGTAAACCATCTTAAAAGCCATTTAATTTTCTATTTACAGGTAATATTGCAAAGTATATTTAATTTTTGTTAGGAGATGCAATTTCGCATTTAGACCAATAATTTTTGACACTCAAAAATCAAATGAAATTTGAAACAATATAAAGCAGCCTGCTTTAAAATGTAATTTTGATTGTTAGACTCACAAATTAGATTAAAATTGTTAATTTCTTTTTTCTTTAAATAAAAGCCTACTGTTTTTTCAAGCATTAAACTTTTTATTTATTTTTTTACGATGCCTATAAGTTGTAATAAAATACCCTACAAGTAATACTTAGGTATAGGTTTCAAAATTTACTTTAAAAATGTATATCTAAGTACTACTTATAGGTACCTATTTGTAGAAATATTGGAAATTTATAACTATATTTTAAGTTTATAAGTACTATATTAAAGTACTATATTATAAGTACTCAGTTAAAGTTTATAAGTAGTATATTTTCTAAATTTATAAGTGGCATAAATGTTTCTACAAATATAGTTTGGACTATTGTAATTGTAAAAATCAAATATAATAACACAATACAATAAAATTGTAATGTAATACAATAAAATTAAAATAACATTGCATGGTAATACCAGAGAAGTAAAATAAACACTATTTATTGTTATTGTATTGCTGTTATGGGTTTCAATTACAATGACTATTCTATTGTGTTGCTGATATAAAAAAACAGTTACAATAACTATTATATTGCTTTGCTGTAACGAAAAACAATTACAATAACTAATCTAATGTAATGATAAAAAAACAACTAAATAACTAAACTAATGTATTGATAAAAAAACAACTAAATAACTAAACTAATGTATTGATAAAAAAACAATTACAATAACTAAACTAATGTATTAATAAAAAAACAACTACAATAACTACAATAATAACTAAACTAATGTATTGATAAAAAAAAACAACTACAATAATAACTAAACTAATGTATTGATAAAAAATAACTACAATAATTAAACTAATGTATTGATAAAAAAACAATTACAATAACTAATCTAATGTATTGATAAAAAAACAACTACAATAACTACAATAATAACTAAACTAATGTATTGATAAAAAAACTAATACAATAACTAAACTAATGTATTGATAAAAAAACAACTACAATAACTAAACTGATGTATTGATAAAAAAACAATTACAATAACTACAATAATAACTAATGTATTGATAAAAAAAACAACTACAATTACTACAATAATAACAACAAAACTACAACAACTTCAATACTGCAACAATACTACAACAACTACAATAGTCTATTAAAAAAAAAAAAAAACTATTGTAATGTATTGCATTACTGTTTCAAATTCAAAAGCTATTATATTTTAATGTATTTAGATTCTTTTTCTACACGCATATTATCATTTGGATATATAAATTTACATATATAATTTACATTTGGATATATAAATTTATAAATTTTATTTAGTTTGAGATAAATAAATAACTGTTTAAAAAATAATGTATTTAGAATTAATATCAATTATATACTTTTGAAATCATACAAATATGTAACTTATATATTTGTAATTAAATAAATAATTATTTAGTTAATCAAGTGAAATTTTTGATTTTTTAAAATGTCTAAACTGATATTAAAATGTTTTACTGGATTATGGGGTCTTTTAATTACTTGATTAATTACTTAATATGCAAAATAACGTTAATAAATTATTAATGTTATTTTCCTAACTAATATGCAAAATAACATTAAAAAATTGTTTTATTCAGTATATCAACTAGTACTAAATAAATCATAAAATATTAGTTGCACCTTATTTCAAAGTTACATGGCACAGCGACTGGGCTAGTTAGACATTTTAAATTTTTAACATAATAACTATTTTCTTTAAAATATTGTTATTGTATTATAAAAATACAATACAACATATTCAGGTCTTGTTTTGAGATTTTGTATATAACTCAAGTTAATATAATTTTATTCAATAAAAATATTTATATTGTAAAAAGTTAAATTTTGAAACCAAGCAATATTGTTATAAAATGAATTATCAAAGAGTATTGTTGATCGAAGACTCAAAAACCTCTCTTAAAAGAGTCAATCTCTTGAAAAAAAGTTATGATTAGATGTAGTAGCTGCACAAGCAGGTGAAAACCATGAAGTAGAATGAGGCTTTATTTGGAAACAATGAGAAGGAATAAAAGCTTCTGTTCCTGTCTGAACTCAGGAGGTTATGTAGGAGGCACATTTGTTAGCTGATGAGAAAATACATCAGACAAGAACTGTCACAAAAAAAATCTAAAAAAAAAATACCACTCAGCTTTAAGGTATTTGTGAGTGTTTCAATTATAGGGTGAGTCTGTAAAAGAAGATTTATAGAGATTATTGCATGGTTCTGCCT